AGAGTGCTGTCACATATCGTTATCGTCCTTTCTGTCTCGATGTGTGAAAAGTGCGAAGTGTCCTTTTCATCTTTTATTGAGTTCATTTTATGATATATTATTTGACGAGTTTATTACTACAAATATATTATATTATGAGTATGAAACACAGAGAAAGTGTTGTGAGCAATGTTCAGCTTGAAGATAAAAATTCATTAAATTTTTACTCGATTATAGATTAATATATATGTACAACATTTACTATTACTATTCCCATAACCTTATGTCTACGTTTATGCAATTGTACATTGAGCTTTATGCTTACAAATCAATTTTGAATATTATAATACGACTTCTCACCGTTAGAATTCTCTCGCTGTGCTAAGCGTTATCTCGGGGGTCACGGGATCTCACCGGAAATTTCAGTAGTTTATATGGTAAGATAGGCGATCTTTAACAGCTACGAACGTTTCTTGCATGATGCGAAAGCATCTGACACAGAGATTAAGCCAAGCGCGCGCGAAATTGTCTCGCAACGATATGCAAATCGTGGCATAAATGCTAATTGTAATTGCCCATGAAATGAATTCAAGGGCTCCCTCCTGGCGAAGGGTTCGGCTTCGTAGCTTAGCACCGACCTTTGCCCTTCAAGTCTGCCAAGTATGTCGAGTGACAAAACTGCGTGTGTTGTTTTAAAAATTTTGCATCGATATAAAACCGGCTAAGGTAACAATGTTATTCATTCTTTTCATAATAAACGAAGAAAATTTTTACAAACAATTTTTACATTCTTTTTTCAGCATAAAAAAGTAATTTTATCAGAAAGTTACTTGGAAACATTATTCACGTACGAATCTCGTTAATCACTTTTTATTCACCCTACACTCTCAGCATGAACTGAAAGGTCCAATTGCCAAAGAGAAAGCTAAAACAGTCAATCGGGGGATTTGGATTTACGGTAAACGAAACGAAATGATATGATTAGGACGTTAATTCCTGTCCAGTACATATTGCTAACGAGAATAGGATGCAGTGAGTCAGTTTCGGACAAAATCTAATAATCCTTTTAACAGAGGTTTCAAATGATTTTTTCTGACAAAAATCGTGTAGTAAAACTGAAGGCTTTGACGTCAATTCAACCATGCCAATATTACATGGCGCATCCCTCGATATCGCTATATGCGATAAACTTTCCATCTTGCCATAGCGATGCGCGAATTTAGCTCGCAAAATTGCTCGGGGAATAAGCTCTTGTCTCCAGATCTAAGCACGTACTTATCGTCGGACGAGCCGAAATTATGCTGGTGACAGTTTGTAAATGATCTAGTTTACGACGCGAGAAAGTGAGGGATATGGCGTATTCGAAAAGAGAAAGAGACGAGGAGAGAGAACAAAGAATAGATGACAACGGAGGCATAAGGACTGAAGGTTCTTATTAATTATTCATCTTCATAGAGATCAGATTTTCAACGTTTATGTGAAGTATGGAAACTGGTGAAGATTGGATATTTTCGAGTATGCTTAAGTGTTATGAGCGCATATTTATTGTATTTAGCTGGATAATGAAATTAATCCCCTTCAGGAGCTCACATATGTGCGAGTATGGAATTGGCAACCCTAGCTACTCAAAATTAGAGCAGCCTGAGAGTCAGGTTACTTTGATCTTCTGGGGATACAAAGGAGACTATGTATATTACGTTTATTTATATCACACATATATTGCATTAGTTTAATTATTTTAAAAAATATGGAAGATTATAATATTATAAAATATCATTAAAGCTTACGTATGCAGATTATTCAAACAAATAGAAGAAAAATTGCGTCAAACAGGGTTACAATGAAAAGTCTGCGGCTTTAACTTAGTATTCTGCACACGAATATAAATTTCCGTTAACAAATATATGTACGGCAGCTTTTGAACAGCGTTTGATGAACACCAGGCCCGCCTTCTCCCACTCGGACGATGCAAACCGACGGTCGGATTGACATTTGCATACGACGGACCCGCACAGGCGTTAACTGCTCGGGGACGCGGAATGAGCTACAAGTCACCTGGTACCAGTAATTGAAATGAGGGTAACTTTGAAGAGGGGTCGCATGAACAAACGAGGAGCCCAAAAGTTCTTTTAGTGACACATTGTACATTCGCATGATATTAAACGTAATGAAAATTATGGTAGGTTTCTTTAAAACAAAATTTAATTAATATCAATTGAAAGAAGACAGAATATGAATTTTCTAGAATTGCCATTACTGGATTAAATAATTATGGAACACTCAGTGTAGTAATTTATTGCATCCATTTCCTTTATAACATGATTAAATGTAAATATTTTTAAACATTTAAAAAATAATCTCATTTGACGAAAGAAATTTTTGCTTTTAGTTCGCCATAAGTTATTAACAGTACAATGTGCCGTATTTGATTTGTCTCACAACGAAGTGCGTACTCCAGAGAAAGACGAGAAAAATCTGTTGAGAGGACTGACTGTGAAACACGGTTTATAAGTAGAATGGCGCTGGAAAATGCGATAGCGAGCAGGCACACAATTTGAAATACCCCTTGAAACTTTACGGACTATGAAAGCGGAATGAAAACGGGCGGGCGATACTACGGGTGGTTCGGCGGTGCAGGGATGGGAAGTTTAATTAAATATCACACGACATATTATGGCAGACGGGGCACCGCGCGTGGTGTCGATGGCAAGTAACGTCGGGGACAGCCCGCGAGACCGAAAAGTTTGTGCCAACAAGCGAGTAAGCCAAGCTTGTAGTAACGGACAACGGGGACGCTACGTTGCTACCACCGGAAGTTAACGGAGGGCGGCGAACCGTCCAGACATTTCAACGTCATCGGTACCCTTTTATAAAGCGGCCAGTCTGAAAATTCCATTCGGCCCACCCTCGCGCGCACGCACTTCCCTTATATTCACCCCCATCGACGCGACTGCTGATTCAATTCTCGCAATGGCAAGGACGACAATTTACTTTTAATCTTATAATGCCCCCGTCGAAAGCCTTGCAGTGAAGATTTTGTCGTGAGACGATGAAAGAACCGTTATGGAGCAAATATTCCGTAAATGTAGGTGGGACTTGGGACAGTGCAGATAACTTGGGACAGCATGCATTTTGTTAACTTCAGTATCCATCCATGAGTCATTAAAGAAAATTTAAAATGGAAATTTTCTTTAGAAATTCATGGATGGATACCAAGATTGAAGTTAACAAAAGTACATAAGTATATCAATAACAAAGAAAACTAAGTAGATTATATCTATCATAGTGATGCATTCGAGCAAGACGAGACAAGGAAATATCGATACCGAGATTTAGGCTCGATAAAAACAGATGATTAATACATCTTCTCGTCTCAATGAACTATTTCTCAAGATTCCCGAATTTCATCTCGAGACATTCGAGAACATTGACTATCTCATTTCATTTATTTGAAATTTATATAATCAGGCAGCAAATTATATAATTATAATAATAAAGACTGTATTCAAAATTTACTGCCAGTACTGAAAATCTATAGTGCACGTGACGTAAACTATAGATTTTCATAGATTTTTACTGGCAGTAAATTTTGAAACACAGCCAAAGATGTCGAGACGAAACGAGACGAGACGAGATGAGACTAGACGAAACGAGACGAGACGAAACGAGACGAGACGAGACGAGACGAGACGAGACGAGACGAGACGAGACGAGGCGAGACGAGACAAGGCGAGACGAGACGAGACGAGAAAAATAAATGACACATGATAATCGCAGAAATGCATTTCTTTGAAATGCATCACTAACCTATCGTAAGAGAACAAAATAGCACGTGTAATACATTTAGTAATATTATCGTGTCACTAGGAAAATACACAGGGGAAAGGTCGTATGTCTCCCCTGTCCTGCCGAAGGAAGCAAATCTTTGCACAGGCCTGATGTTGATCCTTGCCACATTCACAATGACTTGCGAATTAAAAGCCCATGAATATGGTAAGGATGTAAATTCCGCCAGTGTTTACTCGGGATCAGTGTTACACGGCAATCTGCATACTCGAGTGTCGGGTACGCCCGGTGACGCGCGATGAGGGTTGCGAATCAGGTTCGTATCGTACATGCGGGACAATCGTGCAGGGTTAATCACGACCCACAGCATTCCTTCGTGAAGATACCACGGCAAGAATTTAATCGCAGCTCTCGCTAGCGTCTCAAAGTTTCCGCGCTGCTCAAAACCGCATGAAGATGTGAGAGTTTCTAATCCGTACGAATCCCCATCCGGCAGTTTTGCAATCTCATCGAATCGGCGAGTATCATCCACTGCGAAAAAGAGACGATCCCCTATTTCGACCAACCCCGTCGATTAATCCGTTAGGCGCTCGCGACCAACCTGTGCGTACCGTTCAATTATCGAGGGGTTCTTCTCCCTCTCTTACCCAACGCTAACTGAGTTGTTACCTCGATAATTCGTACGTCGTAGTATCGGTCGTAACCCGGCGGCTCGCCACATTAATTTGCGGCCTAGCATGAGAATTTCCGCTTAACTGCGTTATCCCGGAACTTATCGCACACCGTCAGTGATCAATCAATGTAGATTCCGAACATTTCACCAATATTCAACGCCGCGGAAGTACGTCTCATGCTTCGAATACCGCAATTAATTTATCGCTATTATTTTATTACTATATATGTTTAATATTATATTCAATTATATTGTAATATGATTAAAAATAATCTGATGTTACATAATATAATAATACAATTAAAAATATTTTAATCTATCATATTTAATTATATCGACATTGTTAATATAAAATAAAAAAGTGCAATTTTAATATTTAAATTTTTTCTTTACATTCAATAGAGAGCTATATAGATTTCTCTTGTTAAATACTCCCGACATCTATTTGTACCTCAAAACAGAAGAATGCTATTTATATGTCCGTCCAATATGCAACAACTATTGTATGATTTTAGTTAGAATTAAATCCTTCATTTCACGTCGATTTAAAGAAAAGACCCACCTGTGTACGGTCGACAGTAGTTGCGATTTTCTCTGCTGTAAATTGTCGGCAAGGACGACTCCGCTCCCGGTTCCACGTACGCTTTGCTCTTGCTGTCTCTAGGGTCGCTGTATTGTTCCACAATCTCGATTTCCGCCTACAAACAAAACACAAATTGTTTCCTTCCATTTCCATTCGAGAGAGATTCCGTATGTACACCTTCGCGTCTGAAATAGCGATCGATCTGGCACCTCCATTAGAGAATACAGTTCTCTTCCTTAATATATGGCTCGTAATGACATAGGATACGGTATATCAAATGGGAAATTGGTCTAAATTACTGTAACAATACTAATTTGGCAAGGTGCATTTTCCTCGACGTTCTCGCGTGCGCAGTAATACTTAACTTTGTCCCAGGAGAGAATATTTGTCCTTTGAGAAGGATTATCGTCAGAGATAGCTACGCTTGAATTTACACGGCAACTTGATGCCATTTTCTGGTCCTGAATGCAGCCAATTGCGGTAGTACGTTGGCCGAGACTCGAGGGGACACGCTTCCAGCCGTCCCCTAAATGATGATCGTTATTTCGAGAGAAAACAACTGCGGCGACAATTCATTTCCGCTAGCACGTGTGTCTCGGTGAATTAAACGTAGCGCTCAAATAATCAGCCAGCAGACGATGAACGTTAATATCCTGCTAGTATAAAGATTTGAGCTTGAAGGTAGAATATTTTTTAGTACGACTATAACATAAAGCGAATTGCATGTCATGTTTGTCTTAACAATCTCAACCCAAAGGAACGAATGGAAGAAATAAATTTCTCTTGACTGAAATTCAATCGACCACGAGCGAGGCAGGGTTTCTCGTGTTTCCTGCGGAAGCCGCTCGGTTCCACTGCGATTATGCGATCGATGTTTTGCCGATATTAATGATAGTAATGATAATAAAAATAACGATAATATATCTTTTCCGGATAGTAAACGACGAAGAGTGCAGACCTTCAGCATTGGATAAAAAAGAACCCGTCAATGAAAGCTTTCTTCTTTTTCCTCTCTCTCTCTCTCTCTTTCTCTCGGTTTTAATATTATATCAACTAAGGAAGCGCAGTAAAAGAAGAAATAAGATGGTGCATAAGAAAGCCCAGCAAGGCGAAACGAGCAGACATCCCAGCAATGTAAGACGAACGAGAAGGTGACGGTGGGGAAGACAAGTAGCCTTAAATGGAAAGAGCCCAAAATTGGAATTCTCCTGCCAAAGTTGAGCGCCATGCCTCCAGGGGCTGTTTCGAAGACGAAGTCGATTGCTTCCAACCACCTACTAGCCCGTCGCACGAGCCCTTCTCTCGTGAAATGGATAAATTCGTGGATGTTTATACGGAAATTACGGGAACGATTCCGCAAGCTCTATGGAGGTCGTTCGTTCGGTTATCGCAAATCCGATGACGAACGGGCTGACTCGACTTTCTGCGAAGCGCGAACGCATATTCGCCAAATCCTACGCCGATGATTGCGAAAACGATTACGCGGGGTTATAGGCGTGCAATAGCGACAAGAAATCGAATTGCCGTTCGATTCGGCGAGTGAAAACGCGCGGATTTAGCGATGCCTCGTTAAGCGGGTAAAGTAAATCTGTAAAGCTGTCGCGGTGTTGGCGGTGGAAGAGCTATGGCAAATAATAAACACACACAGTGTCCCAAGTTGCTGCTCGAATTTCCCTCCGTGTGTAAACTGTTTGACCACTTTGAGGATTGTATCGAATGCAATGGCACTGAATGCAATGCAAATAATACGCATCACACCCTATCATATTCAGTTGTTAATACTGTCCGATTTATCGAGGGTTTTAATCCGATTATTTGGTCAGTGCGTTATAATTTGGCGTAATTATTGGCTGATCTAATCGCGTGATTTTATTGTGTTTATGAGTCTACATGGCAAAATGAAATTTTCACCATTGTTCGCATTCGCTTTTGCGATCACAGAATTGTAAACGTCACTTGTCTTTGTTCAATACTTGATAAAAAAGAGATAAAATAATGCTTCGAGCTTGCTGTAACCGCAAAAAGCGAACACAGCCAACTGCATTTTGTTAATTTCTTCAGATCTAATTTTAATGGAATGTTAAACAAATTTTTAATTCATTCAACGACATTTTAATAAATAATTTATACTAAAAAGATTTTTTTTTCAAAATATGTTACGAAACATGTAGTGTCAGATGATATTAATAGAATTAAATAATTTAAATGGATAATATCTTCAAATATGATGCATATTATATTTAAAAAAGTTAATAATGCATTTTAAAGAAGGATATAAAACAAAGAAAAACTTTAGACATAAAATAAATTAGTTCTCTCTAATTATTCATTATGTATATTAATTATAGTTCCATTAAATTTAATTATTATAAATACAAAAGAAATAAAACCTGTTCCAAAAACAACTTATCAAAAAATTTCACCGAAATATAAATATTAATATCGTAGCGTTGTAAAGAGCTATATTAATGGCGACTAGTGATATAGTTCATAACATAAATAACGCCCTTACACAGAATGGCACTCTCGAGGAAACGTTACATCAGCGACGTCGATCGCTCTTAATTTTGTGTGGAACGAGTCAGTATTTCTACAGTATCCGCAATAATACAAGACATCATTAACAGTATGCAGATAATGGCGTCAGGTGAAGCGGAGGTGGCAAGAAAAATGAGCGATGCAAGATAAGACTCACGTAAAAGCGCTTTTTAGCGGCAAGAGTATCAATCACTCTCGCTCTCGGACGAGGGACATCGCACAAAGAGCTTGACATCGAGCACTTTCCTCACGAAGTCAATTTTTTCGGAATTCTTGCAGAAAGACGCGTCCCTCTAAACTAGTCAGGAATTAATTATGTTCACTTTTCAATGTAATTTTCCTCGCCGTGAATTAATCGCTTTCGTGAATTTAGGCAACCTAGTACAAATGGCGACGAGTCCTCCTGGGCATTTTGTTAATATACGTTCTGCGTTTATCAAAAAATAAATCGCCTCTCATGATTAAAACATAATCAAGAAAATTGCAAATCGAAGTTTATGAATCAACGATCAAAATGTCAAAATCATGTATAACTGCAACTCTCGAAAGACACGTTTACTAAAGTTTTACACCCCCAAGCTCTTTGTTATAGTGATAAATGCGAGCAACACCAGTGCTCGATCTCACGCATAAAATAAAGCGCTAAAGTATTAAGTAGGGCTTACGAGCACGACTCATAACGATTCACCCTCTCGAGTCAAGTGGCACCCGCTTTCCGTCTTTGTCACTCCCCCTTGCGACGCTTGCGGGGGTTGTCGGTGACAACGAAGCGAAGGAAACTTTTGTTCGGCGCACTCAGGTGTCGTCCCTTCTCTGCGACATTTCTTTCTCTTTCTTTTATAAACTCCCTTGCGACGGTCGCGCGGTGGTCCTCGTTTCCGTTTATTTGTATAGTAATCAGACGCCGAGCTGACGGTAACGAATTAAATTTTTTCGAATTAACATATCAAACATGGTTATGAATAAAAAAAGTGATAATGCACGTGATATATAATGTATAAAATAAACATAAAGTCAAGTGCAAAAACAGAAATTTAAAAAATATATTTTATATATTTGTAAAAAGTATAGATATTTATAAAAACTTTAATTTAAAAGATTTATAAGTATTCTTCGCTGAAAAAATTATTAAATAACTATTCGTAATTACTAATTCGCAGATGTGTGTGAATCTGATAATTATATAAAATTAAATAATCTAGAAGATTTATTGCACAAATTGCGGAATATGTTCACTTTCATGTGTTATAATGCTCCATTTCTTGATGAAAAAACCGCAAAGCATGATATTTCGAGCGTATTTTTGTGAACCGCAGAAGGCGAAGCTGTCAAAGCGTTTAGGCGAAGAGCTCGAGGCAACTCCAGACACCAAAAACTGAGTGGTGGAGCAATTATAAGCAACGCTGGAAGTCACCGGTCTCTCCACCCAGCCAACGATGCTTCTCGTTCCTTTCGTTGTTACCACCTCTCACACTCTTCAACACGCTTCATCCAATGCCCCCGCAATGCCCTTTGCGCTACACCGTGCCCGGCGGGTATTTTGTCACCACTGTAATTATATTTCTCCCTTCGACTGATTCCCCAGCCGTCAGCATTACGAAAATATCAATATTATCGTTAGCCGACGAAACGACTCGGATCACAGTTGCAGGAAGTGACGTCATGCGCGCATTATGTGCAGAGGAGATAGTCGAGAGTGGCGTGAGTGTAAGATGTTTACTTTGAAATCTTATGCTGACATCTAAATGCATAAACATTTTATTTTCGCAACATTTTATGAATTTTTTTCATTAATTAAATGCAATCAAGGCATTTATTTTTATAATATTTTCGTAATAAAGATAAAACTTGCAAGATTATTGACAACATATACTTCATATGCAAATTATGCAAAAGTTATTCAAAGGATTTTGTTTTCCTGTGGAAACATTGCAACCCCCTGACCTTTTTTGATTCACTGCACGTCGCGGGAGGAAAATATCGATAAACTTTTTGGACTGGGAACATGCCACAATGGGGACGCGTGAACGTGTAACGGTAGCGTGTTTGCTTAACGCAAAATTCATTGAACTGTGAATACAGATAAAGGCGCGACTGTGGTGAATAAAGTTTTATCGTAACCGCAATAATGTCGCACTGCGTAAAAGCATTATTCTAAAGTTATATATTGCCGCCACGTCTAATCTCTTAATTAAATTTTTCATGCAAAGTGCTGAATATATATGCCATTGTTTCATAACTGAATAACGTATCATGTAACGTATCATGATAGTAAGATTTAGGAATAAATCTGTTAAATTTAAAAAGTATAAAATAAATCACCTATTTATCACAAGTATTAAGTATTATTATTGTTCTATGTTTAAAAAATAAGCTATAAGCAATTGAATTTCAAATCTTTATAACAGTATTGAATTACTTACATTCTCTACAGTAGGACTAGGTAGCGTCCATTGCACGGTGGATGTTGCAGCTGCAGCGCTCGCGGGACGTCTCTTGTTCACAAAGTCGACAGGTAGACTGTAATCGTCACACAACGATACCTGCAAACACAAACGGGAAGAAATGATATACATCGTGCTCGCTATTACCATTTCCCATTAACCACTCCACCCAATGAAAATTTTCTCTCGAACTTTCATCGCTCTTCGTGTCCCTACTCTTAATAGAGTTTCAAAGTTGTAAGGGATGACTTTCATCAAATGACGCGAACTCCGATAACTGAAAAACTTCGTCCATGCTCTTTAAATCTGCATTACAGACTCACGCAAGAGCTGATTTTTAATCTTTTACTAGATGCATAAAGAATATTAATCTTCACTTACATTCATTAATTAATAGTATAACGCGATAATAATTTATATACATATTATTATAGCACATTATAATGTTGAATTGTTATATTCTTGTAACACTCGGTCTTCCATAGAATAAAACCAATTTACTTTTATTTGAATCCTTGGAACGACTAAAGCAAGTCAGCCATTGTCCTCGCTAGTTATCTTCGACACTGCACGCACTTTCTCCGTGTAGGAAGAGAAAATACGCAAAATGTTGCTGAAAAAGTGAAGAACAACCGGCGGATGAAAATCCGCGGAGAAGTATCCGACGTCGAACGGCAGAGGATTTCTACCACTCGACAAATCGCAGGGTAAAAGCACCCTAAATCTCCTCCGCGTCCTGAAATCCCCGTCGACGCTGACTGGACCAGCGATATTTACTGTCTGACGGGAGAATCGATCTATCGATGCGTAAATGCCTCGTTTCATCCGATGTGTGCGAGAACCGAGAGCGCGACCACGGTCTACGTCTATGCATTGCATATAAATCGAGACAATCGCTGATCCCCGGGGGCGGCTTATCGCGTCGGAGACCCCAAGAGGGGTGGCGGAGTTCACGGGGATGCTTGCGGAGGGAGTTTTGCACGAGGACTCTGCATGCAAATGATCTGCATTTATTGTGAAAAGAGAGCGCCGTATGAATATGTGAAGTGCAAAACGAAACAAAAAAGATATAGAGGAAAAAAGAGAGATGAACGATCGAAGGACAACGAAGGAAAAGGAGGAACAATCGGTTTGCGGAAAAGTGGAAATGGCTACGGAGATATCGAGAAATGACGCAACTAGCACTTGGTGGCGAAGAGAACTGTGTGGGGTAGAAAAATCGATTCGCAGAGAGATATGCTGAAGTATGCAAGTTAAAACTATTGATAAGTTACTTTACACATTTTCTTTTATATTTTCTTTTTAATCTGATTATACAAAAATTATACAGATTGTACGCGTAACTTCTCTGAGAATTCTTTGTGTTATATTAAACTGCTTAACTTAATCCTTTAAAAGTTTTATTATGGAAATAGCACACTGGTATATATACAATACAATTCGATTACCGATTATATAACTTTCATAAGAATGAATATATTGTAAAATTTTTTTCAATCGAATCAGACATTAAATCGAATATTAAGGAACATAATTAAAGAACATGACAGTATCAAGCAATTATATGTATCTTTATTTATAAACAAATTTTAAAGAATGAAAAAAGTATTGAAAAAAAAACTAAGTATGCCATATCGAAAAGACGTTTAAAGCGTTAATGGACCTCGTACTAATTCTATAGAAAATTGAGTTCCGGTAAAATAAGTTAATATTTCATCTATAATGCAGCTTATGTAATAAGCAAAAGATGTCATAGACAAGACTCTATAATGGATAATTTTTGAGCTATGGTATATCAAAGGTGCTCAATAAAGGTATATCAAGGTGCTCACAAGTTTTTTTCAAATCTTTGATACATAATAGCTTAAAAACTATCCATAATTGAGCCTTGTATTTATGACTTATTTATCACATTATAAGTTAAATTATACGTAAAAACTAACTTATTTCATCGGGACTTAATTTTTCATATAATTAATGCGGAGTCCTTTTAGTTGTAGTTAACAGTAGTGCTGAAGCGCGTTTGGTCAGACAATAACGCCATTAGGCAAGTAGACAACTCGAAGTGATGGTACTCATAAAACAGCTTATCATTCATTTACTGTTGTTAAGTCATGTAATTGTAGCTAAACAGTGTAGTTTTACGTACTTCACCGGCCGCGATCGTTGGCACCGTTGAGGAAGCCAAGTGCGAACTAGGCTGGCTCGAGGGTGAGTTCGAGGAAATCCGAGAGCACTGTCAATGAGAATCCACGTAACTGAGAATCATGTTTCACGTTGTTTTAGACATTATCCGTTCATCAATAATATTGCTGGTCTGTACGCATCTCTGTATTGTCATACATATCTGTATGTATCTCTGTATAGTCATACATTTAAATTTGATATATTAGCGAGCAGTGTGAACGTTGACTCTACAGTGAAAAGAGCTTTTTAAATCCATATATAATTTTTATTCCATCAGACTAATAAATTATTCATGAAATATTAAAATATGATGCGTGACTCGTACGCACCTAGCCGATGCAACCATAAATCACAACGCGCGTAATCCTTAAAGTTTGCCGAAATAGATATTTTCACCGGTGATCCCAGGGTGTCTCCCAAAATGATTTGTTTTCCCGTAAATCTTCGACGCCGCGTGAGTTTTCCAAGCGCTTGCTATTGAGTGAGGTCAAAAGCTCTCTCCGTGAACCGACATTTATAAAGTGCCTATTTACGTTCTGTTTACCATGCTTCTGAAGAAATGTTGCACAGTATCGTTATACGAGAGCAAACGCAAGTTCGCGTTCTCCCACAGCGGTATTTCGCGTGGCCGAGATTAAGCCGGAATATTTAGCAAATGTTTCGCATAAATCAAAGCAGCGCAATATGTTCCGAGTTCGAAGCGAAGCTATGTAAATTCATGGTAATACCGCTGGCCACCCTGCAGAGAGGAGTTTCGATTCGCGAAGTACCGAGAGGGGGTAAAGAGCGTGTAGGGGGAACCAAACTCGTGAGTTGGAGGGCAGAAAGGAGCAGGGAAAGTCCAAAAGGAGGGATAGAGAGAAAGATAGAAAGTGAAAGATGAGGAGAGAAAGGAAGAGACAGAGAGAGAGAGAGAGAGCGATGAGCGCGTATTTCATGAACCCCTAAAGCAGCCCTGAGCATTGCGGCGACCGCCACAATCCCATTCATTCTCTTTATGGGCTCCCAAGTATTTGGGAGCGAGCTTGAATAAATCGGAAATTTGCCCCGCGGGGAGCAGTCGGCCCTCTTCGCGATTTGCCTTTCGGCCTGGTCATTCCTGAACACTACGTTTCGTTTTTCGCACGTAAAGCGCGTAATACGCAATCGTTAATCCCGAGCATTTAGTATAGAAAATTGCCAGATGACCTGGACTAATAACAGGAATCTCCATGCGATAATGAGAGAACTAATCGGTTCACTGCTGCGCAATGCTTATGTCTTCCAAGAAGACAATAATTTATAAGTTTCTCTTAAGTGTGATATAGCCTAGTAGAATAATCCAATCAATATTCTTGCATAATAGCTGAATGCTTTCTCTCGGTAATGACGTCTGAGAGAACCATAATAATAGGAAGTAGTATTAGCTATTGTGTTCCAAACTCGAACTATGAACGGAATGTTTATTCTGTGGAACTTCTTATATAGTTTATCACATATATCTATGCCAACTAGGAATTGCCCAACTGATTGTATTAATTTCCTTAGTTAAAATGCCTCGCGTGTTCTACAGAAAGAAAGAATTTCATTGTATGATTATATTAATTTTATTTAAAAAATAATATTCTCTCTCTCTCTCTCTCTCTCTCAATATATATATATATATATATATATATTGTAAGATAATATATATGTATTTATTGTAGCTTTTTTGTAGAACTTTTATAAAATTTATTTTAATAAAAACATAATTTTTATTGCGTAAAATTATTGAACTAATATATGTGTAATATTAATGTAAAATTAATAATTATTGAACTAATATATGAATTAATATTAACGCTATAATGTAATCTTCGACTTTAATTATTAGGTACCTATCGCCACATAAATCTAACCATAGAGATTATTTATTGCATTTACAATCTAACTTTATGTTTCATATAAAATTGCTCTACATTTATACTTGGTTTGTGTAAGACAAAAATCTTAGTCTTAGTGCATCAAGATGTATTTCGATATACACTGCCAGTATCAAAAGTTTATAATTCATGTTACCTATAGTATAGATTTTCAATATTATAGCAATGTATATCAGAACACAGCTCACAAAGTTAATTAATAAACAAACAAAAGAAAATCTAAAAGTAATTAAAAACTGAGAAAAATTGTATACTACGATTACATGCGTCACCATCATAAACTTTCCACAGCTACACAGCAGCTTGAAAAATATTAACTTTAACAATTAGTATTTGCGATAATATTTCACAATACTGGAAGAATATTGTTAAAGCATAGCACGTAGTATAACGGGTAAATTGTGCAAACAGATCGATCACAATGACATAATTAAATCCAATTGGGAAGGGTTACGACTTGAATAGTTAAGGGTCCCGATGTTGATACCTCTGCAGAATCCCTAAATACTTGTCATCAAACTGTGTTCGTAACACTTCGAGAATAAATTTGCATTGCGGCTAGTAAATGCTCACATTGTTTCCTTTCATCGAACATTCTCTAAATAAAAAACAAGACAATGGCATACAATTGTACTCACAATTCGTGTAGTCATTACTCATTTTAATCATCCCTTCAAATTAACTTACGATTGTAGCCTTGTCTTCTTTAATGTGTTCTCGCAAAGAGTAAGCTGCCACTTTCTTCACCGACCTAGACAATGAGTCAGACCATAAAGAACGCTATAAAGGGAACTAAAGATCGATGAACAGGGTTAACTATGATTGACGACGAACGAAAGTGCACACGAAGTCTTCGGGGAGTCACTCTTCTCATTTTCACGTTACGGCAATCTGATTCGATCTAACGCAACGAGATAAACACGTTAAAGTTTCACGAACTCTTCTCCAATGAAATGTGAGAATGAAGGTCACCCGAGGCTATCCGACAGCATGACGCGCGACAATCCGACATCTTCATCACGTATTTCCCAAATGTACTCATCACTCTTTCTTTGGATATCATTTTTTCTAGTCTGCGTTCGTTACGTTAACCTTAGCACCCGAGGGCAATCTGGCAATGACGAGAAAAAAGAGCCTTCAATATCTTCTCGAAAGCGCAAACGAAAGTCCTAAAACTTTTCGAAATAACGTGGATGGGTGATGTGAATTGAGCTCAGCAAAAAGAAAAAAGAAGAACTATATAAAGAAGTCCATCAACCTTGAAATTTATCAGACCTTTTCCTTTATCAGGTTTTTTTTATTGCGGCGATAGATTTCTTTGAAGAGTAGAAATATGGATTTACATTACGATTGATGGTCGGAAAGAAGAACTTGCACCATCATACCAAATCGACATAAATACATCATTTTTAAAAATTCACGAACTTCCATGACATTTAATATTAACGATCGAATATTGATTGAGACATTATCGTTCAAAGAGACAAAGACATGAGGATACTATGATTTCACAATTTAAGGGTCAGAATCACAGCATCTGAAAATCCTTTTGCCTTCATTTAAGAGACCCATGGGTCCCTCGACAGATTCGATGTGCTTTAGACGCCCTGATCGAACAGAAACGCCTACCGAAGGACTACGTTCCTTTTTGTCGTATCTGTAGCCCCTTTGTAGGGTCGCAGAGGGTCCAGCAGGTTGCTCAAAGAGAACGTAACTCGCTCAAAGTTGAACAAGGAACTCTGTCGTAGAAATCGAGTACTAGCAATAAGACAGACTAAGGGTCGGCCCAACAGTCCCTAATCATTCGCCTTTCTTAGGCCTTGCTTCATCTTTCCTACCCCCTGTGCATTTCTTTCTCGCCCTTCTATTGCGAGCAGTTAACAAAGCCTCTTTAGCCGTAATCTCTGTGCAAGAAAATTTATAATACTAAAAATAAGATAATACAATATATAAGAACGGAGTATAAAAGCATAAATATAGACACTTTATATTAAAAATAAAAATAGATATTTTTTATAAAAATATTATTCTGATTATTCGTATTATTCTGATTTAAAATCATATTTCTACTTCACAATCGTTTACTCTTATTTCAAAGTTTTCGCAGACCAACGTTTCCTTCAACTTCTGCGATCTTGACAATCCAAGAGCCATAAGATCCTCTTTCATGCCGCTCAATTAGAATGAGTACGCCAAAGACAGAACTCGCGATCTTGAAACTTTGATTTCGTAATCTTGCTGGCATGTCGCCAATAGATAGACTTTGTCGGACATGTCATTTCAAGTGCACACGTTAAACGGAGTCGTTAAACTTCTACTGGAGAAAGGACGTCGGACCGCTTGAACGTATCGCCTAACTTGTCTTGTCGAGGCATCCCTCTGAGTAAAAGTTTAAACAGCACTCGAAATGAAACGCGCGGATTCTCCACAATGAAACTTTACGACCATGAAAATTGCTCTCTCGGCGCAGAAGATAATTAATTTTTCCTGACAATCAAATTGTTACGCAGCAAAACGTCGATTATTTTACGATTCATTTCTTCAGATTCATTTCTTTTATTTTCAATTTTTAAATAACAGGCTATAAAAAAAATTCAAAGTTTTAAATTTGTAATAGAAAATGCAAATTAATAAACTATAATTAAGTCACAATTCATCATTGGCGTCTCTTATATCTTCAATTATTAACAGGCTATGGAGATTCAAAGTTTCAAATTTACAACAGAAAATGCAAAGTAATAAACCGTAACTAAATCACAATTTTATATAATTAAAAAAACTTGCAATCTCACAAGAGTGCTATTAATATATTAAATTTATTTAAATCCGTTTAAATCCTCTAATAAATTTATCACATACCGCACAATGTTCAAAAATCACTGGCACTAAGTAAGAACCTAAGTAGTTTAAGTAACCCTGCGGTAATCAGGCGCGCCATAGGCCGTGGGAAGCTGCAAACAGTGCGGAAGGGTTGTGTCGATTCGGTGCAATCATCTCGCAGGTACCTGCACATACGCACACACGGTTTCACCCCTGAAACGCACGTAGTCGCAGTAGCGCCGTGATTGTTCCGTCGGTTTCTCTATTGGGATAAACGTCGACCCCTTCTTATCACCCCTTATCCTATGACGGAAAGGGTCCTCCGGGCGCGGGAACGGAACCCCATTGCCTAAGGGGCTGCTAATTGATTTTAGAAGTTCCTCCTTGGGACTACCCCCAAACCCGTTGCAACATCAGAGCCCCCTCGGCAAGAGTTTTCGGAAAAGACGCGCCACCGTCACGGCGAAAGCGTCCTGGTTCCTAAGTCGCGTTAGAGACTCTCTGAGAACCAGCACCGCTCTCGGCCACCCTTATTTCTTGTTAAACGGAGCTCAACGCGACGACCCTCTCTATCTCGGCACGTTTTAAATCGAAACTTTCCGCTTTCTTGTTTAACAAGTTGCTGACGGACTTCTGCACGTATTTCTCGGAAATCTTGTTAATACTAGTCGTTTTAATTTCAAATTCATCAATTGAAAATATTTTGCAAGCTCAGTTCAAATGTATTACATCTCTAAATTATAACTCTGTACAAACAAATAAAAATCCATTATTAAAGAAGCAGATTAAGAATTCCCTTTAAATATTCCCATTAAAACTTTTAGATAGAATGTCATTCTGAAAAGTAAAATCTCTAAAGAGTAAAAAATTTTCAATCTTCAAAAGTGAGATTTTACTTCCAAATGGAAAGTAATTCCATTTTAAAGAATTTAGCGAATTGATAAAAAAAGACAATGTTTAAGCATTAATAATACGATTTTTATCAATATTATGATGACGTGTGAACTTGTCGTAGACAGAAAGAGGAATGTATCTACTTTTTTTAGTCACAATTACTAGCACGATGATAATGCAGCCCTCAAGGTTGAAATTCTCCATGTTTGTTTCTCTCTGCTTCTTCGTTATCGAGCTTGTCGACATTCATCTTTCATTCATCTTTCGCTGACGGTTTTCATGCGTGCGCGACGCTCGAACAGTCACACAATGAGTTTCCGGTTTATTAAAATCCCACCTACCTCCAGACTTGCTCGTCACGATCAGTCGCAGACGGTCTAAAACGAATTCACGTTCCTGAGTTTCGCTTGTGTCTGATTGGACAATGCATCGTGGAATGTCAGGCGAGGCTATCTCGCGGAGTAACATTTTTTTCCATTCAACTCGCATAAAACTTGACGCGAGCAGAAACGCGAAATTGCGCATCTAACAATCGCAGCGTGACTTCGTAGTTTCTAATTAACAGTAGCTATATCGCAGCGAGTTACATGAAATGCGATTTCATTTATCCGCACGAAAAAATTTTGCTGAAATATTTAAAAATGTAAGTAGATATCATATAAAAATTTATGTGGTCATCTTTAAAATGCAAAAAAAGGTATACTTTAATTTTTATTATCTTTAATTATATTGATACATCTTTTTCGTATGACGGAAAAAGTAAGATAATAACAGTAAGATAATAACATTATTAATAATAACAAAAATTAAAATATGTTTCTTGCATTTTAAAGATGGTCATCTCATCCGAGTTTATCCTAGATCTGAAAATAAATGTTATTAAACTATCAAATTAATTATGTAAGGCGTTCAAACTGATTGCTATAAAAATGTCAAAACTTTTAACTGCATTACTTATTCTGCTTTCTTACGTTTATTATTATTATTATTATTTTAATAGTCCAACAAAATTATTTTCAGATCTGTATCTAGTTAAATTTTTAAATACTTCAGCAAACTCTTTTTGTGCAATATTATGTACATTTTTTGAAAATATGTGTATAAAAATATATACATCTCACAGTCTCAACTATAAATATATTGACAACACAAGTTTAATATTCTAAAATATTTTTGCTACCAATTCTCCTTTTCTTTCAATAGAAAGCATTACGTGATGGAATCGTTGCTTGCGGAAAAGTCTCTTCACGTCTCTTAGAAAGTTACTCCATTATTAAGACGCAGACTAATCCCTTTGCGTTATCGCGTCTTCGCACTTCAACGAACACAAGGACTAACCCTTCGAGGCCGCGTCACGGGAAAATACAAACTAGCGGTAAGGAAGCCAACCTCGTTAATAACTCGCGGTACATTTGACGCGCTTCGTTTCCGGCGACATTAGCCGACGTTGATCTGGATTAAAACAGAGCTCTCGCTGTTAACGGCGGTTGCCTCTTATCTAGATGAGTCTCCATCTTTCTTCAGTGCGTGAAGAATTATGCAACCACTATGGCTAACAATAAATCAATTTTAAATTAAATTGCGCGCATCGAGTTGCGTATTATTCGACCGAACATATTATGTTTAATATTTTGAGATAAAATTTATTCTATGTAATAAATATTTTACACGTTTATTTATTTTAATAAAGAATAGTTAACGTTAATAACTTGTGTTTGCTCGGAAAGACATATTAATATATTAACTTATTTATTACAATTTAAATTCATTTATTGAGAAATATTTTATAATATTTATCATGTATGTAATAATATCAAAAGAAAGCGATAATGATAATTTCAACGAGAACGTAAAATAACTGCAAGCTATAAAAAGGATCCATTTGAACACTCATACTATTTTTATAATATGATTTAACATCGTACGTCATAACTAAATAAAATGTCACAGCCATATGATATGTCTACTATGCTTCAAAGCTCAAAGGGATTACAAGAGATTTCAATCACAAGAGCATGTTCCAGTGTGATTTACGCGAATACGACCTAATTACGAAAATGATGCGTTGGAAGTTTCACAAGGGATTTGCCAACCATGTGATGTTTATTGCGCTACTCGAATATTCTCGATACAGTCATGTCTCTGTTTATAGAGTCACGGTAGAACCATTGATTAATTCCGACTGTGATTTGATTGACGATGTAATCTCCGGGATTTTCGGAAGATTGCGTATCATTACTTAACAATTAACAATCATCCATCTCAGTTAGTGCTTTACATTTCAGCGTAAACGCTGGGTGTTGTACATAAATGCTTCCGACATCGCTTAATCTGAGTTTAGTCGTAGTTGTAGCTTTATAGACAATCACCAGCAGTTTACAAATTGTGTGAGCTTAAGATGATATTTTTTATCTAGTCGGTTGTACAGGACCAATTTGGGATTGGTAAGTATGACAAATGTTCGCGACGGACCACAAAATAACAAGGGTTTCTCGAGGATTATCCGTAATGAATAGCATTTTTTAAGGTTTTTTTTAAGGAAGCAAACTGCAAAGACGTCGCCTGTTGCTAATAAAGAATATTGAGTCATTCACCCCATTGCGAATTTGAAATCCATAAAAAATATTCCATAAAGATATACTTAAAACGCTTATAAATGATTATATCTATCTTCTATTATATTAGGTGTCTAAATACGTTACCATCAATTTTAGACAGTGCTACAATGGTATATTTTCATATTTGATTATTTTCTTAGTAGTAAAATTAATCAACCTGCATTTCGAAAGCTATAATAATTCACAGTTAGACAATTAACTACATTTTTAGTTTAATTGAAAATGAATGTTGAAAGGTGTATATTCGCTATTACATGCTTTATTATTTATCGCGACAACTGTTACCGAGGCAACCAGGATAATTTGTGAGATTTATGAAATATGGTGTTAAAAAGAATTTACAGAGATTGGTTTAAAAGATTAAAAATAGCGATTTCGATGTGAACGGTAAATCACATTGTGAAACATTCTTTCATCGTGGCATCCATGTATTATATGAAATGGCAAAAATGATAGATTCGAAATGCAAATACTTTGATTGAAATGTAACGTGTGTGTGTGTGTGTGTGGGTGTGTGTGTGTTTCTTTTATAATAGATATATTTCCGAAAAAACCATTGGAATTTATTTATATACCCAATAAAAATGCAGAATATTTTCACGTAATCAATTGTGTAGTAGAATATTTTTGGCCCATACTACATGAAATAAATTTTGCGTCGGACTAGCAAGGGGAACACGATCTCGTCGCGAAATAAACGTGAATATGCCAAACGAACATTGATTTCCACATTCACCCCGACTTCCAACCCTCCCTGCGATCGCGGACGGTCCGTCTCCCAGGATCGACACGCATCACGCGCGCATACGTGCATAATTAACGAGACGTGCCGATCGGCCTAAACGCTGAATTTTGACGTACAAATCCGCAGTAACACGAGATCGAGCTAACGACTCTACCGCCGACGCCCCGGAAGCTTTTCGAAACGTTGCCGCAACATTGAATGCCTAACGCCGAGCCTGCGGTGAACCACAGCCACTGGTTTCAATCACGCGTCCCTCTCGAGCTGTCAAGCAGTGTAGATTTGTTCGACTCTAATAAAGAGGCTAAAAATTCACAATTTTTAATTTTAAAATGTTTAAGGTGTTTATGGTTATCTTGAAATCAGAAAGATTTTATCTATACACGTATAAGGTAATATGTCTTAGAGCTGGTTGTCCCTTTAGATAAACTATGTAATTTATCTAAAGGATAAAAGAAAAAACGAGACAGAAAGAGAAAGCGTCATTTATTAAAGGCTCTGGGACAAGTCCCTTCAAGCGCAGAGACTAACTTATAAGATAGTAAAAAAGAGAATAAAAAAAAATGGACCATATTTTCCAAACAATATATAAAATTAATAAAATAAAACAAAATAATGCAAAAATATATTTTATATGTACATATATAAGCGTTTATTAATATTCTAGGGAAAGCCCTTTAAGATTACAAAATAATAAAAGAAAATGAAAAAAAAAACGTAAAACAATATTTACATTTTCTTTAAAATAAAGAAATGTAAAAAATAATTGTAATAATAATTGTAATAATAAGGTAGACAATAGACAGAAATTAAAAAAACAAAAAAAATTAAAATTTTAATAGACAAAAAGAAAGAGCTAAGTAAATAGATAGATAGTGCATTTAATTTATTGATATTCTAGGACGAGCTCTCTAAAAACAAACTTATAAAGTAAGACGCCGTACAGAAATAATAATACAAATATACAAAAGGAAGGAAAAAAAAAACAAAAACGAGAATAACAATTCTGCAAGAAATTTCTGGGAAGACATGAGTACAGAACAAGAAAACAGCAAAAGTTGTGTGCAGTACGAGCCTAAAGTTTAAGTTGGAGAGAGAAGCAAAAATAATTAATTCTGTATTGAGTTGAGAGAGAGCGAGAGAGAGAGAGAGAGAGAGAGAGAGAGAGAGAGAGAGAGACAGAATAAGCTGAGATTTATTGAAAGATAGACGATCCAGCTTAATGTAGCTGAATTATGGTTCAAATCGACCATAATCTGGACGCGTTCCAATTACAAGCTACTAGTGACGAGAGAACGTTGCTCCTTCGTGGAAATTGTGCGTAAACGTTCCTGCATGCTCGCCGAACATGCCGGAGATAGTCGCGTCCTCAGCGATAACCGCGTTATCTGCGAAGCAATTTCGGTTCACGACACAGCACTGGCGGCGGTAACAATTAAGCCTCACAATCGGACACTCGATCATGATCGGGGCCGTCCGGAAGAGGGGTGCCAACCAGGATTCAACGTTGGATCCCCGTCAATGTGTCCTAATACGTCCTCGAATGCCCTGAAGCCTCGGTGTATAGATAGGTCCAAACCGTCGTATCTACGGATACTTAATTAATTCACTTTGCGCCGGACTCGCCGTTCGTAATGTGGGATCGGGCTGCCTAAGAGCCCCAAGGCAGTAATTGATTCAAATGCTGCGAGGGAGTGTTACAGACCAGTTATATCTACCGCCGCAGATACCGTTTCCGGTTAGTCGAGCATTGCTGCGAGTCGCGATGCATTTACAGATTACGTTTGCACAATTTAGTTGACGTTTATAAGAGGAAAATATGTTTGAGAGGAAAGTGTAATTATCATCTATATCTTTGCATTATTTTAATTGCACCGCGAACAGTCATAACTTGTGATACGTAAAGAATGTCTGTAAACGTTCCTATTTTTGATGAAGCACGTGCAGAAGAGACATAAATTTATGGGATGAAGAAATTACAGTTTCAGAGCGTGACTAATTGCCGCTCGTTAATTGCGGCATAAAAAGCGCGCAAGACATTGTTAAAACGGACGTTAAGGGGTAGTCGGCTGAGAGCGAGGAACTTTTCGGGGACGTTACTGTAGCCTAGAAATTCTGCGGCAACGCGAAATCCGTTGAAGCTGCACGAGGAGACGTCATAGGGCGCAAAGAAAGAACGGAGGAGAAGACGAATGCGTGCCGATGGGGTAGTGATTAATGTAGACGATATCTCTCCCCCCTTTTCTCTCTGTATAATTACTTAATTAAATTCATATATCATGCGGCATTATGTGATGTATACCGAAATCCGATCCCCTTTCGTAACGATCCCGTGGATATGGAGTTTCTATTCAGATAGTATCTCTGCAGCCGCCCCAGAAATGGGTTCTGGGGTTTGCTACGTGACTCTTGACTCATTGATATTATCCAATAATTCTGACTATGATTAGTCGCTAACACCATCGACGTTCTTCTCCTTTGTATAATTTGAAAAACGAATTATGGTTACGTGAGAAGATAGGAAGTGGTTTACGGATAAAGTGTTCGTGGACGAGAACTAAACTAATTTCAGTTTTAAGGGTTTCTCGAATTAGAATAGCTTGAGTTTATTGCTAATTGGGTGCTGTACTGGCTGCCCACCTCGTTAGCGATCCCGTTGACTTTATTGTAGAATATCCATCTAATTTTCCAAGACAAATGAACCCTTTGTCCATATATGTATACTGTAGTGTGTGTAATTAGACTTTAAAATAAATTGTATTACTAATTTAGTCAATAAGATAATTGTTCATCAAACAAACAGCTTCTCATTGCGGAATTATAATCTGCAAGTAAATTTGAGGTAGTTTTTTAATAAATCGAGTTATCATAGAAATGTCTAATTTTTTATATACCTAATGAAATTGAAGTACTTATCGATCTTGACGTGTGTAAAATTCTAGATCAACGATGAAATGACAGAGAAAAAAAGTGTTGAAAATATAACTTTTAACGTATAACTTAATAACAGGTAAAGATTGGAGACATTTCTTAATTCGACTCTCTACAAACAAATATCATCATTTTTTTAAAAAACGAGATTATAATAGTTTAAAAAATTACAATTGTGATAGTCATAAAAAAATAATAGGTCAACGGTCATTCGGAAAGATACTTACGCACATAAACTTGCATATAAATTTAATCTCGAAAAGTTAACATCACCTTGTTTTCGTTTAGTAAAAATGCAGCTCTTCTTTTTTTTAACAATTCTGAGAAAAACGCGACTAAAGTTTCAAGTAAAATTTTTTGTTTATAAAATGATAATTTTAGAGTTCTACTTTTAATCATATCGGGACCATACAGTAAATCTGCGTTCAAAGTATCCTCTTCAGCTTCATGTCGGAGTGATTTTGCCTTTTTGACAGCGTCCGACATCCTGTGCTCTGCGATATTGATTTAGTTATCGTCAACTGGCATTGTAAAATTGTAAGAGCTTGTTCCAATAATTATGTTCATGAGTTCCATAATTTTTAATAAGTTTTTGAAGCCATCATTGAAAACACAGACAGCAATGTATATACAAATATTCAACATCTAATTGTTGCTGAACGATTTTGGAACCAAAGACCACACGACAGCATTCAAATTATTGTTACTGCGTGTAACCGCCTAAACAATAAGTCAGCAAATCATTCCTACTCAAGTCTTCATAAATAGGTTTGACAGCATCAAAGACATTTTGAGGGACAGGCTGTTTGTGTTGATAATCTGAAAGGGTGGTTTTGGCTTGATATCACGAGCACCACGATTTCTCTCCAGCTGGACAATGCTTGTGCTCTTCATCGATCGATGTTTTTGTGCAAAATTGTAACCCAAATTGCATTTCTTATTTTTTCTATGAAATCGTTATTTCTTTTTATAGCGAGACCTTCTCTTTATAATACACTGTCAGTTCATCTATTATTTTATTGATTTCTCTTTTTCGCCGAGACCCTTGAGGTTCTTTTTTAAAGTGCACAAGCATGCATTTATTCGTTTTTGCACTCTTTCTTTTGAACAACGATGTTGTTATACAGTTCAGAACCGATGATACCTTTGAAGGTTTTATTGTCTCTATCGCTGACATCGAACACATATTTCACATCATGTAAATTTTCAAAATATGCAAACTTTTCAATGATAGCGTCCTACCTTCATTTTACCAGCGGAACCCTCATGATTTATTTGACAATTCATATGCGATTTATTCTACTCTTTGTATTTTGTAGTGTCATTCTCTTTCCAGAACTCGCAACTTTTACAATATGCTGATTTCACAACATTAATTACTTTACCAGTATAATAAACAATCAAAGAAGTTATTCTGCGAACAAAGAAGATGATTCGCATTTTATTCAAGATTCATCATCGGACACAATGATATCATTGATAATTGGATTTTCGTCGATAATAATTTTTCTGCAAAACCTGCATTTTTTATTGATTATTTATAGACAGCAGCGGTAGCAGAGTATGGACTAATTCTTTAAATATTTTAATTTATTAATTAATAATTAGCAACCAAGATTTTATTATTAATTGTAAATTTTTCTTTATTTCTCTCTTTCTTTTTTTCACTCACTTTACGGATTTCTAGAATCTGAATGCCAGAAGCTTCACTAATGCTTTGCTAATTTCATATGATATTTTCTGTTGATATTCTACTAAATTTTTTTATATTCTGAATAGATAATTACTAGGTAATTACCTTGCGATAATTACTTTGCGAACTAATTTTAATTGATTGAATTATAATATATGTATTTGAGAAGTGGTAGCAATCTGCTAAACGTAGGAGAATTCTCTTAGTTCGATAATACTCGCCGAGTGAAAACGCATCGACTGAAAAACATTTCCAGTTGATTGCTAGAAATGTCGGCGAGACCGGAAAGGGTTTTGTCGGTGATTGGCGAGGAGACGGCCCGGCTGAAGGGGCGTGGGAGATCTCTGAAAACAGTGATCACGTTTTTTTAATTAAACCGAAAGTTAGACCCCCGTCGGGCGGAGCTGTGGAACAATCGACTCGCCGGAGTTTAATCACGACGTAATAATGACGACAAATAAATTAAACTGGCCCGTAACGCTGTCCGCCTGATCATCCCTTCGAGAAAAGATTGCGCACCGGAAATAGGAGAGACAGAGATAGAAAGAGAGAGAGAGAGAGAGAGAGAGAGAAAGAGTTAAAATGTTTCAATAAATGTTTCAATATGTTTCGGTCAGCATCTAAACCATTTCTTTTTGAGATTAATTTTGCGAACAAAACGATAAAGAATATTGGTCTTAAATTATCTCGTTTTCATCGATATATGTTTTTCTGTATATTTCTGTATATATTTCTGTATATGCTACGCAGGAAAAATATGCAGTCGACAAAAGTAAACAAGTTTTTTCATATATATGTCTGTAGTTTGGAACCAGACAGACAACTGGAAAGCAATAGTAATGATCGAATATCAACACCGCTACTATTGATATAAAAAATTTGATTAAACGCGAGGAATATTAAATGTTTTTTACGAACTCTTCACAAATAGTTAGAAAATATTATATTGAACTAACATTGCAAGTAATTGCAAGCAAAAACATTCATAAATTTAAATTATTTTCAAAAAAGTTATATTTAGTCCGCGACTGTAAATATCGCAGCGAACACTCATTAAAAAAAAGGAAGAACTTTGTAGTTATTTTTGTCAGTTTGTACTTATTTTTTATATAAAAGCGCAAGTTTTAAAAGCAAGTTAAAATTAAAATGAAAAAATTCCATTAAAAATATTTTTACAAAGATTAAAATTACAATTGATTGAAAATAATAATATAGATATGAAATTATGTAATAATATGTAAAAAATAAAATTATGTAAATTTCAAATTCATGCGCTTCCAGTGTTGATTTATATCGTATGTTTACAGATTCATCGAGTAGGGTGCTTGCCGGAAATTGACTGCAGGCGCGATGTAAATCAACTACCGGTACGAAGATTTATTTTATTCAATTTTATATCGGAAACGGATTATGTGGTTCATCATGTAAACACAGTTTAGAAAAAAAAAATTAAAAAAATAGATGTAAGCAATTGTTTCAATCATCTTACTTCAAGTCAACAATTGAATAGAATCAACTGAATAGAAACAATTGAAAAGAAATAATACGTAAACTTATTTGTAGAATACAGAATTTATTTTAAAAGATATAATATAAAAAAATAAAAAGAAAAAGTTTCCATCGGAATATGTATGTAATACGTAGAATTAAATAATATTAGCGTACTTTAATTAAAAATTGCTATTAGTACGTTGATTAAAATACTCTGTATTTTCAGTTTCTGCTGATCGAATAGAATGTACATCAAATAGTACATATAGTAGATGCAATGTTGCTACAATGATGATGCAGTTGAAACAATATACATACAACACGTGACGCTAATTCAGCCAAGGGTGAGTTTGCACACTCATGCTAAGTCCGCCAATGTTGAATCAGCACTATGGATTATGCGAATGTGCGAAATACATGCGGATACACGAATCCGATGCGAAGTTTACGATTAGGGTTCTAGTTACGAAAACAGACATTATCTGACTCATGAAATACAATTATCACGTTAAGCATCTATTAACATTAACGAGAATGTCTGTTTTAGTTTATATACTTTGATCTGATGTTTGTTACATAATGTATTATATAATATATAAAAAATAGTTATTGTTAGTACACATATATAAAATATATTTATTATTAATACACTATTACACAAATAAATTTTTTTATCCAAAGATTAGACCATGGTATTCTTATATTTATTTTGATGCTTTGAAACCGAAACCGAATATCCAAATTATTTTATCACATCACAATCTTTTTTACAAAAAATAGCTCGATTTTTCAGTATTTTTTATCTACCAGCTTGCATATTATCGTTGAACATACTTTTTCTCTTTTACCTCAGCTTGCATATTAAAAATCAAACCATAGATGACTTTAAAAATATTGAAAAAATTGAGCTGTTTTTCATTAATGAAAAATTATGGTGTGATAAAATTTAGATATCCAATTACATATTAAATATTCGGTTACACGGGCGTGAAAATGCATACATAAGAATATCATAATTTAACTTCTGGATCGAACATTAAATTTTGTTTGCTTGTGTCTTTTATTATTTAATACTTTTCAAAATAATAGCTTATTAACAGATTAACACAAACCCAGTGACATAATATTGTCACGAATCCCTAATCCCTCATTACGCAAAATGGATATGTAATTATCTCTATAGATTTAGAGAGATGTAGGGTCCTTTAGGTGTGTTGTTATATCCGTCTACGGCGGTTCCGCCCTCGACGTGCCAGTGTGTTCAGAGAATATTTCGCCTTACCGCCTGGATTACAAGTTCCCCATGATTTGGTCTCGAGGGAATGGTCCGTCCCTTTCGATCTTAAAGGATCCGGGGTTGGTTGTATTTGTTAACAAAGACGACAGTCTTCGGTCGTGAATCATGTAGGAGCTGTTAAAAAAACCGCGAACTTTGTTACGTGCAAGCGATGTAACGTACAATATACGACTTAACTTGCTTTTTAATAAAAAAAAAAGAAAATATAGGATATACTTTATTGGTTGGAAACGTTGTAGAATACATGACAGATGTTTAATCACTTTCAAAATGGTAATCATCTCCTGTCGAGTTTGAAACCCTCTTTCCTGAATGAATCATATGACGCAGCGACGAAGGACTTGCTCGAGTTCATGAAATATTCGAGCTGCGAGCGACTAAGCTGCTTGCGGAGACCATCAACACCTGCGGTCGCAGCAACATATAACTCCAATAACTTTCTGCCACGTATTACCCTTGAAACTTTATTTCATGAGGCAATTGTAAACCTGTTAGTTCGTATCAAAAACTGGATTAAAATAATTTTAGTAAATCCATTTTTTGAAACATTACACTGCAAAAATAATTTTGCTGAAGTTTCTAAAAATTTATTGTGGCTAAATATAAGTCAAAAATAAATAAATTTTGTTGGTATGTTAAAATTTATTATGTTAACGTTTAAAGTGATTGCTAAGATGTCAAAATGTTTTTGCAACATTGCTCATCAAGATGCATTAGTTTGATGATTTAACAAAATTATTTTCAGATCTATATTTATACCTAAATTTTTAGATACTTCAGTAAAATCGTTCTTTCTGTGTAAAAAATGATACTTGTTACAAATTGTTGGGTGATTTATTATTATTTTATCATTGTTATGTTCACAGTTTCATACGGAACATTAAGAATTGATAACGAAACTTTGCAACTACCGTTCTCGCTAGTAGGACTTATATCTATTTGATATATCGCGAATGTATCAGCTAACTTTGGTAGTAAACATCATTATGATATCATCTAAACGCTCATGCGAACATTAGTTGTAGAGTAGTTGTAAATCGCAATACTTGCTCGAACATCAATCGAGACTACTGTTATGGCTGTACAATAACTAAGTCGATAGATATTATAGAACATCTACGCTACTCCGCTACTTGTTTATACAACATGAATGTGCATTGTGATAACAGATTGAGAGACCAGTTAATTGAATACAGCTGAACAGTTGTCACTATAAACCTGCAACCTTGGCTGTAACGTGATTGTGCACGTCAACACAATGCATAAGTTCTGAACGACACTTCGATAAAATAATATTTTTTTAAAATTAATATTAATTGTCATATTGCTGCAATTCAACTGATTAACTTTATCTCGACAAGTCGCGTAAAAATTGCGAAGCAATTTTAACGGTGCATTCAGTTCTGCCATTCAATTCGTTCAACGACTTCCTTTCGGCTCTTGAACACTTCAGTGGATTTTTCGCGAAAAAAAGCCCTCGTAAATTCGACGTATCACAATGGTGCCGCACAGTAATAAATATCGCAACGTGAACACCTAATGGGGGATCCCGTTTCAGCGCGGAGTTCGATGATATTGTTTATGGCGCTTACGTACGGGAACGCGATATAATGGAAATTCCGGCGTCCGGCCGACTATTTATGGGACACCGTCATGTGGCACACATTGTCGTACAACGGAGCGTCTCTCTCCTCGTAGTATGGCATACAGGCCGCATGACTGTCCCACAGGGACGACTATTACAGGACGACCCTTCACCTTCCTCGAACACCGCTGCCATGGTCTCCCATGGTGATCGTCAGCGGGGCGATATTGTGGTTTCGTATATCCATGTTGCAGCAGGTGCGAAGGCCAAAGAACAGGTGAGAAGAGGTATGAGTCAACCTTCGTGTATGGTATACAAGTGTGCGTATTATATATGGCTTTAATAAGTATGAAGTTATTAAATAAATCTATAGATACTTCGAGATGAGTCTGGCAAAATGCTATTAGTGTCCGTAACATAACGCGATTGAGAAATAAATTTAGGTGAGAAATAGATTTAAGATCGCGTGATCAGACGAACTATCGAAAAGCTCATCAATTCGTCAATTTTATCCTATTTTCGTGATCAAAAGGCGTGTGTACCAACGATAAGAACGCCGACCGCCAATAATGGTGAATATCACCCGCTGCATTTCTCGGTGGCGAGAACCCTCTTGGCTCTCCTTCCCGTGGGATTACGTCCCCTAGGTTACATTTACATACACAGCTCGTCTCTTACACGAAGCAGTGGGAGGAAAGAATTCAATAAAAGGCGAGTCCATTGTCTCAAGATTCTAACTTTGATAGGCTGAGATCTTGAAACTGGAGATCAACGGGGACTCGATGGAAAGCGGATTGAACGGACAAGGCCATTTTAGTGAAATCCTTGGAAACGTTTACTTAAAATTGTAAAATCGTGCCTCAGTGATAGTCTGGTTATCCGAGTCCAAAGATAATTTAGTGTTCTTGACAGAACGATCAAAGTTATTGATAATAACGAAGTCGTTAAAGACAATTTTTCGTTTGAAGTGTCAATAGACACATTTTTTATTCGACAGGAAGGAGTTGACAAGCCAAACGGAAAGGCATAGAAGGAAACAATAAAATCCCATCGAGTGCCTGGCGAGTGATACGTTGATGCCTCGAAAGTTTATTAAGCCCTATCCATCAGGGGTGACTTTCGGCTTTTGATGGGAAAGAGCGTTTTTTAATTTAACTGTCAAAGCGCGCTACAGTCACCAGTTTTACGATCACGTCAATATCTCTCGATTTTTTTATTCGTTCGTCTACTTTGGGCAATTGGGTTAACCAGATACTTGACAATACAAACGAACCACAATTAAAATACAAGTTCTTAAAATGTAGTATCTGTAAAACAAAATATAAATAACTAAGATTTCTTCATTTTTAAACACGTAATCTCATTAGCTTCCGAAAGTAATGCAATTGCGAACGAAAGTCGAATAAACACGTGACTAATGCGAAGAATAATAAAAGACGACTTTTGCTAGAAAAAGTTCGCTTTTAAGACAAGTGAGTTTATATATAATTTAGAAAATTGAGATCTCTCTGTGGCTTAAAATATCAAGGCGCAGAGCAAAGTGAATGAGAAGTCTCGAGCTTGCGTCTATGTTAAAGGGCATCGAAGGAATAATTTAAGTGAGTGAGGGATTATTCTTGGTGGGTACATCTCTTACCGCCGTGGATTCGTAGGATCATAACAAATGGCTTGGAGCACCCTAATGGAAATAAAGAAGAACGCTGGAGGTGTTGTTGGTATGGAGTAACAACCGGCGAGTAGGATAAAGAACAGGAATACGTTGTAGACTAAAACCGCAGGAAAAAAAAGATCAACGGACGGACGAAAGCCGCGTGCAGGAGGAAATACAGGCGAAAGAGAAATAGCATCTGGGGGAAGTCGAGCACCTATAACAAAACTCTCGACGAAACGTATCCTAAATAAATACACGCCATTTTTCCTCACGCGAGTTTTACAGCGTACAAATAACGTCGTGGAGGAAATGCGATCATGTCTCAACGAGAGACC